GGGGGTGTGTGCGGTCCTTTTTTTTTTTCCCACTCTCGAGCTGCCCTTGTAATGGTGGGGTAGGGAATTGTCAGGATGGACAGGCTCTGTTTGGAATACCGCTGATGAGTTGCAGAAGGGTCCGAACCTTTGTCAATGAGCTTTCGAACCTGCCGGGCGAACCCCACCTTGGTTGGACCTTGCTCGGCCGGGTAATCTACACTTTGCCTCCCACCACCACCACCACCACCACCTCACTCACTCACTCACTCACTCACTCACTCACCCCTACCCGGCCGCTTCTTAACTTATATCCCTCTTCCCACTGTACCGTACTCCTACGAATACCGTACATATCATAATAACTCCTTTCACTTCGGATCGACCGCCTACCGTACGATACTACCGTCATAGCTTACCGCGATCAACCCGGCTACCGCAATGGAACCGGTTGGCGAAAAAAAAAAACGGTGAACAAGGGAGGAGAAAGAGGGAAATAATAATAATAACAATACAATGCGGTGATACATGCTTTTCGTTCTGCCCGGGTGGCGGGGGGATCATAAGACATCACTCGGTAGATCACCTTTCTTTTTTTTCTTCTTTTTTTCTTTTTCCCCTCTTCGCATTTTATGCGAATTGAGCCTCTTAATTCTTTTTGGAATAAATAAAAAGGTTACACACGCAGTACGGTTACCGTTCGGATAAACCTCCTCCTTCATCCATCCTTCTATCCTTCGTTCCTTCCTTCCGTCCCTTTGTTTCCTTGCCGTAATACCGAGCGCGTGAGCCAGGGGGAGTTAACGAGTTCTCCGTAACCGTACCGTAGGTCGATATATAACTTGCATAGTATGATAGGTTATTTTTTTTTCCTCCATTTTCTCCATCCGAATTGACCTATTTCATTCTGAAATTCTAGTATCCCTCCTATGATACGTGTATGATCATACTGTATCATACTCGAGCGCGGTACTGTACAGTACTAGTTAAGTTAGTACGGGTACCGTACACGGTACAGCACAGCACAGCACAGTACTCGTACATATCATGCATAAAAAATCGAAAAGGGGATAATAATACTTTTATTTCTTTATTTTTAATTCTCGGGAATAATAAAAAAGACATTTGCCTCCCCCATCCCCCCCTTTTTTTTATATTTTATTTTATGATACCAAGTAACTTGGTTTTTTCTTTCTTTATGATGAAAAGAGATAAATAAATAAAACTACCGAGAAAGGAGTGGGCTGTTTTTTTTTTTTTTTTTTGAATATGTGTTCGTTCGTTCGTTCGTGTATGCGGGCGTCTCGAAAATGGAGGGGAGGGTAGGTAGGTAAGGTAGGTAAGGTTTAGAATTCTGAGGCTGGAAATGAGCGGCGGTGTATCATACGTGCAGCTGTTCTATTTTGTCTCTCTTTCTCTCTCTCTCTGCAAGTGCTGTGGGTGGATGGATATTTGTGCGAGTACCATACTGTACTTGGTACTGTACAATACAGCTTGCATTACTTACTTACTGCATTGTACTGTGCTGTATGTTTTTTTTGTTTTTTATTATATTTTATTTCATTTCTTTCATGCCGGATTACGTCGGACGGGAAGGGGTTTAAACGAGAAACCTGTGTGTGCCTTGCTGCGATGAATGAATGAATGAATGAGCGAACCTTCGAGACGGGGGGGGGAACATGCTCAATTGAGTGCTTGATGTCTGAGATCTCACTCATTACCTACCGGTACTCGAGTACCGGTACTGTACGTACTGTAACGTATTGATAGTCCGTCAATCTTTACTTGAAGAACTCCCGCCCCACCCCGCTTCGCCCCCTTCCCCCACGCCCCTGATGAGAGAGACATCATTCGCGGATCCGTGCTTGAAAGAAAGAATGGATGGAAGGAAGGAAGAAAGGAAAGGAAAGGAAAGAAAGGGAAGACGGGTTCCGCGGAGGTACTATCCGACCAATATTTTTTTTTTCTTTCTTCGATCAGAATCGGATGGTGAACATCTTGGACGGATGGCACGGCGATGGCAGACACTCAAGTGCAGTAGTACTGTAGCCCGGTAGAAAGACAGACAGGGAAGTACGGGTACTCGAGTACATGTACGACACTACCGTGCTGGCATTTGAGGGGGAGGGGGAGTTTAAGATTACCTGAGCAGGGGACTAGGTATCGCGGTACGGCGCTCGCGGAATTACTTGTACCCTGTAGTCCTCGGATTGATCCGGCCTACACGCACAAACACTCACATGCTCGTACAGGTGCGACATGAATTAGCCAGTGGTGGCGTCAACTTCCACCACGAGTTGGAGGTTACTTACTATTCCACTTGACCATTTGCTTGTCTCGGCACTCGATTTGGATTTGTTGTTCTCGTTCATCTAGGGGGGAGGGGAAGGGAAGGGGGGGAAGGGGATGCTGTGCCATCTATCCCGGGGAGAAGGGTGGAGAAGAGGAAGCCTGGAGCGGGGGAAAGGGAAAAGTTTCCCACTTGTCTGAGGTGCGGCAGGAGTTGTACGGTACTGGCTTTTTTCTGACTTGCCGCATGTTGGGATCGTCCTCTTGATGGGCTGTCTAGCGGGGGATGTGTTCTGCGTCCGCGGTGGGTCGTTTGCGAATCGCTCCTGTAGGAGGAGGGGGATGGATGACATTGGGGGCGTGGGGGGACAGCGTGGTGGGGTTCGCAGGGTTGGGACCGGGAAACAAGCGAGATGGGTGCGAGGATGATTGGCGATTGGTGCTTGTCCGGCAAATTTCCTTGGGCTTCCTAGTGCTCCGTGGTACGGAACGGATTATTGGAGATCCGCGATGGATTGGATTAGAGTTTGGGTTAGTGTAGCGAGCGAGTGAGAAGATGTGAGTCCACTGTTCCGGTGCAGGTGTGGCTACAGAATGGGCAGAACTGTCTCTTGGCGGGTGGACCTATTTTGGCTTCCTGGCATTGCGCATGCTGATCCATACCTGTTGTACAGCACACGTGAGTACCCATGCCTCGAGATCGACGAATTTTTTTATCCTCGAACACGGGAAAATGGTCATTTCTGTATGTGTGAAGCCCTTTTTGCCAACGCCTCTTATGCTGTGGTTAAATGGGGCTTTGGTCCAGTGATTGCCCTATACCCTCAGGGGGGGGAGGAGGAGGACATGCAACCACGCATGAATCTACAGGTATCGTATCATGCCCTACTCTACAGGATATGACCCAATCTCCCTATCAACAAGGAGCAAAAGGGAACCTCATGACTACAGCCTCGTGGTACCAGGGCTTTATTTTTTTCTTTTCTTCTTCAATCAGCATGCCGAATCTTTTCCCGGACCACAATGGCTATGAAAGAAAGAAAGCGTTTAACCTAAATCGTAAAGGAAACCAAGGAGCGAGTCGATAGGTCCGGCAGAAGCGTTACACGGATGCAGATTGTCTTGAGCTGTGGGCCGCCAGCAACAAGCAGAAACGGCAACTGTGGTAACGATCAATCCCTGATTCGAATCGTATGTTTCTTTACCCCTGACGAGTGAGTATTCATCCCATTTGTCGTGATGTGGTACTGAAGCGGGGATCTGCTGTCTTTGCACACTGGGGGGAGGGGGTTTTACTTGTAGATCTTCCCTGCCTCCTGCATCGTTGCCCTGAAAATCTCTATTCACCGAGATTTCATTGCCTGCTCCGTATGCAGGTCGTATGTATGGGTATTGCGGGATGGCAGGCGGTGGTGTCTCAGTGGTGAGTTTGGTTGGGGTAGTTTTCACTGCGCGTTTGCGGAGGGGGGGGGTTGGGGAAAGGGGGTGATTGTGGTCTCGGGAGTGCCAATTGGTATGATGATGTTCAGGTGGTTTCCGGTCACCGGTTGTTTTTTGGCATATTGGCGGACGTCACTCTGTACTCACTCACACCTGCAACCCATAATACCGTGT